AACACAAAGATATTACATGTATTAAATTATGTTTTAACAAATACCAACTAAATTTATGTTTCCAAAACTTGCTCCTTTTTCTACACTCAGAATTGGTTTGTACCTATTTTACCAAAAGAAAATCATTGCTCAATTCCAAAAAAGAGCAAAAATTATGTGAACATTTTATGTTCAAATTATGTTATCTAAATGAAAAAGCTACTTTAATATAGGTCATCCTGCTTTTTGGCAAGAAAATGAAAATTCACCTCCCCAATAAGCTCCATTCATAGACAAAAGCCATCACTTATTTTTAAACGCGCAAGCTAGTTGCACATGAATTAATAAACAGAAAGAACATGAACAGAAAGGATGTGCAATGCAATAATACGGAATGACCTTAAATCTAACAGAATGACAAAGAATAAGACGAGTGAAAACCTACCATCTCTAATTTGTTATATTCATCAACAACTTTCTTGTAATCCTGAACATTATAGCCATTCCATCTAAATATGAAGAAGAATTGTCATAAGTCACAAGCTAATAAAGCTAATGAAACTGATAAGAGAAATAATTCCACTTGTAACCAGGCAGTTGAGTAACAACATAAAACTACTGTGAAGTATGAATGATTAAAGGTATAGTTAGACAACAACGCATTAGCCTCATGGTTAGTGTGCTCAACTCTGGATCGAGTGGTCTGGGTTCAAGCCCTGGCCGGAGTCATTGTGTTGTGTTCTTAGGCAAGACACTTTACTCTCACAGTGCTTCTCTTCACCCAGGTGTACAAATGGGTACCAGCAAATATGCTGGGGGTAACCCTGCAATGGACTGGCATCCCATCCAGGGGGAGTAGCAATACTCCTAGCCGCTTCATGCTAAAGGAAACTGGAGTTAAGCACTGGCCCAATGGGCCACTTGGGCCTGTATAAGGCTTTACTTTTTAGACAAGAAGCACTGCAAGAGTCCACACTATGACAAAATTAACTAATTACCTGAACTGGTTTCATACATACATAAATGAAAAATACCAGATAGTTGTTATTATGAAAAAAAATGACCCTAAACTAGGGTAGTTTATATCACAGACTAGTAGTTTATATCACAGAACACTAATGTGAAATGCAAAGTCCACCAATCACAAACTTTGTGAATGGACCATGCATATTACCTGCTCAGTAACAACCCTAAACATGCCTTTAAGGGATGTTTAGGGTTGTTGCTGAACACTGGCTGCTGGTGAAATTTGTAGCACTTATTCATCGCAACTTCTTCCATTTCTTGCATCCACCATTTTCTAGAGAGGAAGGTTAGTAGCCCCACATTTTTGGCATTGCAAACCCCCTCCCCCCTTCACCAAACAATAGAAAGCGCAAAGTGCCTTCTTTGAGACACCACTTTTGAGCCACCTCACTTGAAATTAGGCCAGAAAGTATGATAAGTAGTTAATTTAGGAAGAGAAAGTAATAGAAGAGAACAAAAGAGAAAAATGAAAAAGAAAATGTGTGAAAAAAAAGAAAAAAAAGTTGAAAGAAATGCAGTTTTACCTATCTCTTTTACCATCATAATCAAATGAAAGCTGAGGCTGTATGTGTTCATCAGCTTTAATATCCTCTCCACTGAACTTAGCACCAACTCTTCTGGGTCTCTGACATAAAAAAAAAACGGTAATTCTTTGTTGTCACTAGATCTAATGAACTTGTAAGGCTACTAATTTCAGCTTGTTGAATCTGTGTACAGACTTCACTGTTACAGTAGAACTTTACTGACCCAAACTAAATGACCTAGAACTTCTTGGCAAACTTGAACTTAGAGCTATTTCAAATACCTCAAAGTACCCTTTAAGACAATTGCTGTTAGTTTACTCAAACTCTGCTGAACTGAATTCATTTCATACACTTTCAAGTTGGTGGTCCAACCCTAAACACCCTTATATCAGAATGCATATTCTCCACACTGTTCTCTATACATTTCCTAAGGTGCTGACATTGAGAATTTGGTTAACAATCAGGAGCTGCTTCAGTTGTTGATTATTCCTTTATTCTCACAACCTTAGTGTTTGATTCAGGGGTGATACTGTGAGGAGAAATTAGATGCTACTCAACCCTAGGGGTTTGAGTGTTAACACTTTCACTCCCACAAGTGACCAAGACAGAATTTCTCCTTACAATATCAATACAATATCAAGCAGGCAGGTGATGAGAATAGAGAAGAATATCAACCGTGTGATTATTGGTTGATCCAATACCAAATTCTCTGAACTAACATCATAAGAATTGTATGGCAGATAGTAAGGAGAATTACTAATCAGATCCTGGGAGTGAAAGGGTTAAGTAAACAAGGTTTTAACCTTTACTCAAACATAAAAGGGTACTAACCACCAAATAGACATAATTGCTCATTTTATTTATAAAAACTTAATGTTTTGTACAACATGTATACCTCAAGACAGTCGTTCTTTTTATGAGTCATGGCTCCACAGTTTTGACAGGCTCCCTTTCTGAACTTGGTAGCTGCTGGTATCTAGGAAAGTTTAAACAATGCTAACTTTTAACCACTGTGGTCAAAATTGAATTGATTTCTACATCTTAAAAAGGTTATGACACTTACAACATCAGTCCCTCTTTTGTACCACTCAGTTATCCCTGAAAATTGCTTTTGCTTTTCTTCTTGTGGACGTTGATGCTTTAAGGTTGGTCTAAAATGAAAATATAGCAAATTAATTACTGTAACTCACCAAAAACAAAAGATGTTTGCCTAAAATATTGGTCAATTTTTAAATTAAAGAAAATTGGCTGAGCTGAATTGAATTTTATTTCAGTAAGGAAAATAAAACCCTCAAAAAGTTGCCTTGCTCCTAAAGTGTGGTTTTGTGGTACTTTTTTTGTATTAGTTCCCAACTAGAATCTGAGTCAGAGTGCTAGCGGTTTAAATCCCATCAAAGCCTGACTTTTTCTGAGCCTCTTTTCTTCAATCAAAGTCCACCTGCCAGGGTCATCTCTTTGCTTGATTTTCATCCACAGGTCAAATTAAATTTATGTAATTAAAGAAATAGTGAAATAAAAAGAATTGATCAAAATAGTCAAACCTCAAGTATCATACTCACACTAGAAATGAAAAAACAATTTACAAGTAGAGGCCAAAGAGTATCAAAATTTTAAAAATGTAACAATTAACTAAGCTAACTAAACACCGTATTTCCTGGGAGAAGTAAAGAAAATTAATTAATCTTAGTTCTTACCTTGAAGTGCCATAATACCAAGGAGCTTGTGAGATATACTGTGGAATATGAGGATTGATATCCCTAAAAGAGCAAGCAAATATAAAATTTAACTCCCCCCTATTAACCGAGTTTGAGATCCATGCTGTAAGTTATGGACCAAGTTTTTTCCACTTGGATTCATAGCTCCATGTGCAAGGTGTAAGGGCTATAAATCTGAGTGGAAAATACAGGTTTTTGTAACTTAAAACACAGTTCAAGAAATTCAGGTTACTATGAAGTTTATTATCTTTGGCTTTCGAATAGAGGGGGAAGATTTCAATATTCAAACACACTTTTAACCCTTTAACTTCCCAGATCTGATTGTTAATTTTCTCCTCTAGCTCCTACACATTTATTTGTAAATTGGTTAAGAGAATTTGGTGCTCGGAATCAAGATAATATCTTGTACCTGATAAGTTTGAGTATTCTCATTAACTATTTGCTGGATAATGTATGGATGCAATAGGGAGAAGTTACGTGATAATCCCTTCTGGGTGGTAAAGGGTTAAATAGAGCATGCTATAGAGTGAAATACAAGTAAGGCCTACTAAATTGACCAATCGTAAGCCATGTATGTACTAACTGAGAGATGTAATCCATTATCAGAGTGGTGAAAACAAGCATACCCTGATTTAGAAAGCAACAAAAAATGGAGCAAATATGAAAATACAATGCCACAGAGGTCCATCTTTTCAGAAGTCCTTCATGGGAAATACCTGCATAGCTGGATAACAGCATTACAAAGTAATATTCGTATTGTGAATTGCACAACACCAATGCAATAACCCATGTTTGGAGTCAACCATCAAGATACAGATTCCTTTCTTTTCTTGTTTTGAGAATATATCAGTCCTCTTATATCAGGTTTTGAGTAAAAAGGAACGTATAAGCATAATGGGATCAATATCAGTATCTGGGCAACTGCCCACCTACCCCTCCCCTAACTCAACAACAGTCAATTGATAACAAGTTAGGGTTAATGTTGGGTTAGGGGAGGGGTAGGTGGGCAGTTGCCCAGGTACTGATATTGATCCCTATAACGTAGGTGAAATGTGAAGGTTCAAATTAAGCTGTGTACTGACGTACGTACACAATTGTTGATCATGAAAAGCTCTCGTATCGTTTCTATTAAACCACAGATTCATGGATTGTGTAAGTTATCAATTATAACTTCCATACTATTCTAACCTTAAAAATGAAACGAAAGTACAGTCATTCGAATCGTAAATCTGCACACATTTGTTCCTCCAGATATATCATTTCCATGGACATATCAAAGGATTTGCAAGTTACCAAAATACAACAATTAATAAAGATAACTTACTTTCCTTCTTCGTCCGTCAATGCTGGTGCCGTACCAGCCTTTCTTGCTTCCTCTAACTCTTTTTCTTTACGCCAATCCAGCCGACTCTTTTTCTGTCCATCTTCGGTTTTAGCCGCCATCTTGTTTCTGTCCCCAAAATGCTTTTCGAGACTCGTAGAATAGTACTAAAGGCAACGTCACTTCCTATTTCGAATTTAGTAAGGGAAGGGTGGTACGATTTATGTATTTCATGAAACTTTATTTTGACGCTTGAGATTAAGAAGAATCTTGACTTAAAGAACTTTTAAAGCTAAAAATGATAAATAATTTATTCAAACTACAAAAAGAAAAACAAATCTAAATTTACTTTACAGTAGATAAAAGCCCTCTTACCCCACTCTAGAAGTAAATATTCGTGTCTCACTAAAGCGAGACTGCAGCATAACGCTACAGAAGACTTTAGTAATGGAGTACTTGAGCACTTACCTCGCGGTATTTCTCCTGTTTCTTTCGAAAGTTTTAGCTGAAGGCGAAACGAAAGGATACCTTCGTAGAGAGCATTCCGTTTTAAAAGGTGAGTTTGACATGGCGTTGGTTAATTGTGCTCCAAATCCTTCGTTGGAATGTGACTTTTACACTCTCAAAGAAACTTTCGTGAAAGATTTGATGAGTTCGCGTTTCTCGATTCTATTTCCTGTCGATGTAAACTTCGTTCTCTAAGAGTTCGATCTTTTTCATATGAAGAATTTTTTCTTCATTTATTCGTTCCAAAGCCTAATTTGACATCCTCAGTTAATGAAAATGTAACGGGTTTCAATATAGTTATTTTAAAATCAGGAACTGCAAATATTCAATCAGTGCCAATGTCTCATGTGACGTGCATGTGAAGACCTCTACAGAGAGATTTTTTTTTTCAAGCTTCATGCTTTCCTCCCAACTGATTTTTGTACCTATCCCTTCTAAAAGTTTTGTTACAGAAAGATGAATCGTAGGTCATTTCATTGTTCATAAATGATTAATTATCCTTAAAGCGAACTTTAGAGTTTTCCTTTCTTACTTAATAAGTTACCATTATGATAACTACTACTATTTCACCCAAGAGAATCGTGCCACCATACTAGAGATTTTTTTAGCGAAAATAGAACTCAATATATTTGTTTTTGTGTTGACAATCCACTATGATTTCTTAAAGTATTTTATTAGTTACCATTCTTTTATGATAATATGTTTTAAAAAATTGTACATTAATATTTTAGAGCTCATGTGTAAAAATATTGCAATTACATAACAGAAATATACCTTAACCATGATTCTTTGAGAACAAGAGTTCTTTTGATTTTCCCCCTGAAAAAAGTTTTTGAATGCCCTTACAATTTGATCATTCAGATTATGCAGCCAAAAACAAATGTTTGTTTTTCAAATCCCCAGTTATAACAAAACATGTTGGTTTACTTGTGGAATAGGTATTACATTCGTTTTTTGATGAAAATTGTTCTGCAAAAGTGTGGGAAGAGGGAGAGTGGGGAAGAGTTATGGAAAGGGAACACTATGATGCATCTGTTGAGTTTCTTTAATTTTGAAAGAGCTCATTACAGGTTATGAAGATGAGTGGCTAACTCTCTTGTATTATTTTTCTCACTCCCAAGATCTGATTGTTAATTCTCTCCTTTTGTTGATAAACATTTCCCTGTAAAATTAGTTTCGATAATTTGTTGTTAGATTAGGATAAATTCTACATGTACCTGATAAGTGTGAGTATTCTCATTACCATTTTGTTGGATAGTGTATGCATATTATAGGGAGAAGTTACATGTTCATCACTTAGAAGGCTTAAAATGGATTGTAAAAAGGCTTTAACATTTATGGGATTGGGATCAAAATTTCTTGATCTCAGAAGACATTCTGGTCAGTTGTTTGTGACTTGCATGCAGATGTTTTTATCAGACAAATTCAAATAAACTGGTTTATGGAATGACTATGACAATAATTTCTCCAGGGGCTGGTCCTTCTATTCCTTATTGGGATTTCCTTGGAAGTACATTTATTTCCAGCAGCTACATTAGATTAACACCTGACCATCAGAGTAAGAAAGGGGGTTTGTGGAATAATGTGGTAAGTTGATGGAATTTACTATTACAGTACATGTACTTGTGCTTATAGTTTCATTTCTGGTGATAGCTATAGTAATTCACCACTTGATAAAAGCTTGATTGAGTCAAAGTATCCACATTTAAGTTTTGTGTTCTGCATTCTCCTTGTTAAATTTGGCACATTTTGTGGAAATGGAAACCAGTTGATCCCTTCTAACCCTCATTAGCAAGATTTGCCAATTACTATTACATGGCTTTCCATAAATGTTAGTTAAAATGGGTGTGATTAATTGTTTATAGTGTTCCAATACCCTCCAAAAATTGTTAAAAACACCTCTAACTGGTTTGTGTTGATAAAACTGAATTAATAAAAATCTGATATAGTTTTGTAACTTGTGTTTCTTACCAGCCATGTCATGTCAAAGACTGGGAAATGTTAATTCATTTTAAAGTACATGGAGTTGGTGACACATTATTTGGAGATGGATTTGCATTTTGGTATTCCAAAGACAGGATGCAAGAAGGTATTGACTCAATCTATTGAATTTTATAATTAAGTATTAATTTATATAAATTAAAGCACATGATAAGTACAGACAAACTCCCAAAGTCCTTCACTTTCAGCAATTGTCTCATCTGTCACCTTTGCTTTTCTTCTTCTCAGGTGATGTATTTGGTAGCAAGGATTATTTTTATGGTCTTGGAGTATTCTTTGACACCTACAGTAACCACAATGGTGAACATCAGGTGGGTGAACTTTTTCCTGTGATCAGGTCATTTTGGCAGCACTCTGTCTATTGTGTTGTAAGACATTTTGCACCCCTTTTGATGATCTTCACTTCCTGATCTGTGAATTATGCATAATTTATTGAATAGCATGATCACCCTTACATTTCTGTAATGGTTGGAAATGGATCTCTTCACTACGATCACGATCGAGATGGAACACATAGTCAAGTGGCTGGCTGCTCAGTAAGTACATGTACATAGAGAAACCTCCAGCATTGTTACTTTTTTTTCTTGATATGGTTTGAAGCCAGTAGTAATATGTGATTGTGTAGTCTGATCATCAGTGAGAATAGTCCAGAATAGAACTGTTGTCAGTTGTAGGTAGTAACATTCCTAGCTTGTTCCAGGCAGTAAGTGTATGTAAACAAGCAAAACATTGGGGCAGGTAGGAAAAAGAACAAAGGGGGAGGAGAACAGTTAGTTTAGTGGAAACAACTGATTTGAAAACTTAAATTGGTCACTGCAAAGAGTTTAAAGGCTGACACTTTGAGCATTAGCCCTTTGTCAGAGCAAGGAGGGAGGAGGTTTCACTTGCTTGTGTTTTCACCATTTTCTACCAACTGTGAATCTGGTATGGGATAGATGTGTTGGTGACTTATGCAGAAGTCTAGATCAGTTTAGTGAAAAATAAGGGACGCATAATTGTTATTGTTTTATGTTCAAAATGGTACCATCATGTAATAAATTAATGGGTTTAAAAATATGTGAGCTTCTTTGGAACTTATGTATCTATGTATAACTTGTATGTTATGTATCCTGTTTGTTACACTGTGGTAAAACACTGATAGATTGGAGTGCCTAGTGTACCCACACTGCAATGTATTTTTTCATACTGCAGCAAAGTTTTCGTGGAAGAGGTCATGATACCTATGCACTGATCCGTTATTCTGGAACCCAGAATCGTCTGACAGTAAGTTGACAATTATGTGACAAACCCTTGATAAACCCTTTGGATCAATGTCAGTATCCTTGCACACCTACCCTACCCTCCCCTGACCCAACATTAACTTGTTATCAGTTGACTTTTGTTGAGTCAGGGGAGGGGTGGGTGTGCAGTTTCTCAGATAATGACATTGATCCAACCGATTTGATCTTGAAAGGTCAGACCCTAATTCTCTTGAGAGGGGTGGGAGGGGAGGGGGGGCACTCACCCTATGCTTCTTAGTTGGCCATTTATACTTAGGGCATATCCTTGAATTGGTATTTACTGAACTATTTCAAAGTATGACAGTTATTTTCCTGAGAGGTCCACAACATGACTGACAGCAGCATGAAGCCCAATTTACCTGATGAATGTGTAACTCCACTGTTGTCGTGCTATCTAATTTTGGCAACAATTAGAGCTGTAAAAAGAGGCCAGCTTTCATCAGCAAGCAACACTGTCTTTCAAAAAGATAGCCCCTTTATGATAAAGAAGCCATCTTCTCAGTACTGTGCAATGCTCAAGTGCCTGGTAAAGGCATTAGTGAGACCCTTAGGTTTTCTTACTTTGTATCTCGCTGTAATGAAGAAGTTGGAATAATTTGAGAAAGTTTCAAGGTTCTTGGAAACCCTCTTTGCAACTTATTGGATGGGTTGTCTAAGCTTTGACAAAACTGATTAAAAGATTGAGAAAACTTAAATCAATATCTCTATCTTGTAGAAGATCTGATAATTCACTTCTGATTTTCTTTACTGGAAAACACTACAGGGGACTCTAGAGGGAATTTTAGAATATCTTAATTAAAGAATGTTTGGGTGGAATGTGTCTCTCAAGCCTTCTCCCCCCCCCCCCCCCCCCCCCCACCCCCTCTCAAAAAATTCCATACAGCTTAAGCAGTGGCTGTCCATTTCATCAATGCAACCACCTCCTCAAAGACTTTCTGACAAACCTGAGTGATAATCAACCAGCTATAAGAACAATTTTGAATACAGTGATTCTGTTGTAATTGAATGAATAGATACTGGTGGACGTAGAGAACAAGAACGAGTGGGAGGATTGTTTAGATGTAGGTGGTGTGAAGCTGCCAACAGGATTGTATTTTGGAACAACAGCAGCTACAGGACAACTTGCTGGTATTTATTGACATTTACATTTTATCATTGACAAAGCTAACTTAGGAGAAAATTCATTTTGCTGAACTGCAATGAACCTAGAGTTTTTCTTTACTTACAATGCGACTTGAATATCAAGCGTCTATTTAGGGAGTCGCTTGTCTCATATTGAACGCCTATTCAACTCAGTGTTGGTGGCTAGTGGTAAGCATTTACCAAACTGCGAAGTAGATAATAAAACCGCAGGGTAATATAGTACAAAAAAATGATTTTAACTCATTTATTTCTGCTGTAGCTGATTAGAGCGCGCCTTTAACGCTATAAAAAGATTTATCCAATGAGCTTGAAGATGATTTACTCTCACAAAGGGCTAACGCTCGAACGTCAGCTTCAGAAGCTCTTTTAGGCACCCAATTTCCGTGATCATCTAAGCTGATAAAACCAAATTAGCTTGAAGATTGCCAGACTCAAAATTGATTTTTTTCCCTTAGATAACCACGACATCATATCCTTGAAGTTCTACGAAACTGAAATGCCAGTGTCGTCTGATTCTAAAGGAGCTGATGAAGATCGAACCAAAATAGTTCCATTTGCATCTGGTGCCGAACAATACAGAGGTAAGAAATACTTGAAATTAAAAACTTGTAAATGGAGAATATTTAGTTGTCAACGTGCGGGTGTTGACCTACTACAAACGTGGAAACAGAATAATCCTTATTTTTCCTCTTTTTTGTTCTGTATGACCATTTTGTTGTTGATTTTTACTTGTATGTTTGTATTAATGATTGCAAATTACTACAAGCTAACGAGTACTAGTGGCGCGATTATACTTCGAGATTTAATTCCTCTTTTCGTAATTATCTTTCTGTTGTCTAGCATAGTTTTGAAACTCGCTTCTAAGATAGCATTTCATATCGTCAGTCACTGTGGCTGATTGAGACTTAATATGAACTAGAGACTGCTCAGACAGTTATCAAGTCAATACTCATAGTCCGACTCTCTGTTGTTCTTTTTCTCTCTCTTACCCTCTCAAGAACGCGTAGAGGACGTGCAAGGCAGTTTTTCATCAAAGACTGTAAAGGTCTTCAGCTGGCTCTTCTGGTTTGCCCTTGTTGCCGTATGTGTCGTTGGAGTCTCTATTTACGTATACCAGAAACGTCAAGAAGATTCCAGGAAAAGATTTTACTGAGTGACAATAAACGCTGGTCTTGAAGTTGGACACTTAACTCAAAAGTCAAAACATTGTTCGTGCGGAGACTCAATTTCTTGATAAAGTATGGAAATTTGCCAAAGCCTTGAGGAGAAGAAAAGGAAAAGTGTGGTGTCTTATATGAGGTGTGACGGGTGTTTCACCAATTGATGGATTAAATATTTTTAAATAGCCTAATTGACCCAAAGTGCTTCGGCCAAAACGTTTCATGAATGGAATCAGAGCGTTTTGCAATCGTGGATCGAAGCCTGGGCATTCATATTTTTCTCAGACCTTGTGATTGGAGTCTCAACTTTGAGTGTGGAAATTGAAATGATCGATTAGAAAAAAAAGTAGTGAATTTGGTACAGAAAATGCACACTTATCCTTGGAAAGGAAATGTATTTCCTGCGATGGAATCAAGATGATTTATTTCATCAACTTTTCTCAATCTTGAAAACACAAAGATGTTTATTTAAATACAAGTTTTATCGATAGGTCTGACAACCATTAGTAGAAAATTAGAATTTTTCTCATCGTCTGTGTGTAGAAGGGAAGAGGTGATAATTTAGGTAAATCGTCAATATTTATACATAAGTACTCGCTGTTTAGAAATTATAGCTTAATCCGGACTGCACAAGTAGATAAGTAGAGCATAGTTTAATTGAGTGTCGAAAGTTATCTTTGTGTTGGTTTTGTTTTGTTTGCTCCAAAACTGGCGTGAGAATCTCGTTTCACCCTCTCAACCAATCAGGTGCAAGACAGAAACCAATCACGACTTAGGCGCTCACGATTTCCCGCGCTTTAGGCAGTGTAAGTGAAAATACCTCTGATTGACCGTCTGATATTTTCCTTTTGGACTGGACCTTCTGATTGTTTTGGCGTTAGTTTTTTACACTCCTTAAAAACGTGCTCCATTTTTTTTACTCGGTTTTTCGTTAGGCTAGATACAGTATCCACTCTTTTAGGGTTAGACTAGTGTAATGAGAACTTAAAGACATTTCAGTCAGGAGCTTATCCAAGTTGTGTTCAATAGGATTCGTCAAACAATCAAACCGCTTTGAATCCGCTTTTTTTTTGGGGGGGGGGGGGTGGAGTGGTATGGGAAGTAGGGCAAATCACTATCTCCTTAATAAACCTATGTTTGCTCTGCTTTCCCCTCCCCCCCGTTACGCAAACCAAGAGATTTCTCTATTAATTTAAGTTCACGGGCTGAACTTTAAGTAAAGCACAAATTTAAGACTGGGCCAAATATTGCCCGCAAAATCTTACCATCAAAAATGAAGTTAGGGAATGTTAGCTTTACACGGATAAAAATGGATTTTTAGTGAATTGTTATTCCATCTAGTTTTTTGTAGTTACTGAATGTCAAATATATTGTTCCATGTCCTTGTTAGATTTGTGGAATAATTTTTCCTCTAAAATTCACCAATTCTCTATCATAGTGAATGGCTCATTTTGCTAGATGATGGTTGAAAATCAATGAAATACCGATGCTGCATATTCCTGGGTTTTACTACAACTTCCCTTGATCATAAATGACTCCCTTCCCCCCCTCTCCCTCGAAAAAGAAGCGTGAGCTTTGTCTTTCATTTCCAGTACCCTTGCATTTCTACCAGTGTGTAACACTATTGGCCCACAGAACAGGCAGTCTGTAAAAGCATTTTGTCTAGCTATCTATGGGGTCCGAGTCGATACCGCAAAGGTTTGCGGAAAACATCATTACAAAATGAATGCAAGAATTTCTAACTGTCAACTTGTGTTCGTGCAGCTGCCGTTGAAGGGATGAAATTTTTCATTTCCTCTTATTCCTGTATTTGAGCTTCCTGGAATATGACATTAAGGCGAAGACCCATTGATTCGTGCTGTTTTATTTTGTGACGCATGACATTGCGTGCATTTCTCGGAACCACGCTACCTAACTACAAAAATAGTGTTACAATTTTGTCACATACTGATCAAAAGAAAAACCTTTGACTTGAATAACCAGGGTGCTTGACAACGACAAACACGTCATGTTTGTAAGAACCGTCCGTGACGTTATTCCCTTAGCAACTTTGGCCTCCTAAATGATAGTCTTACTTAGCGACACGATGACGCCATTTGAATTGTTGACGGCTACCTAAAATTGCAAAGCCTGCAGCGGGTCTCCTCTCTCGAAATTATTTTGCCATTCTATAAAAATTCAGCAGTTACGTAGGCAAAACGTAACATGCCTCTACTGTACCCTAACAACGCTTAACAAATCATGTACTCCTTCTGGTAGTTTTAACAAAATTTTTTACAACCATTTTTCATTTTGAGAGAATCTAGCCTTTAATCACCTACTTTTCTACGAGATCGTACTTCAAACAAGGCGATATCAACCTAACATTAAATTCATTACAACCATTACCTAAAAAGCTAAAAAATAGTCTGTGAATTCGTTTCGAATTTCACACAGTCGCACTTGACAAATCCCAGCTCTTTTGAGCAGGTTACATAAAGGTTTCCTATAGCATTTTATTTTCATGGGTCATAAAAAGAACTATATCCAATGCATGTGCAAGCAAGTTTTCATCGTTCACTCTACCAGTAAAATGTTACTGCCTAGTAAAAGTCGGGTGTACGTTTCGTCTCCGAAGTGTCAAATTCAGAGAGTGCCTGGATGGGCGACTCTTGTTTTACTTTCTCTGCACGCTGTAATTGTGGCACGCGGTCATCTTTCTCGAGGTTAACCAGCGGTTTCTTCTCCGGTGCACGCATACGCCAGGTGAGACTGGAGCCCTAGATTCCGTGAAGGGAAAAGTTAAGTGTTACCGAGAACAAGGTTTCAAAAAAATGGTACAGGTGACTTCAAATTCAAATTATTGTATTCCCGAGGTCAAAAAGCTTGTTGCAAATAACAAAGTACCATTTGAATTGGAAGCCCTAACGATATATCTAACTACACAACGAAACCCTCGCCTAAAGTTTCCTTATCGATTACATCTGAAAAAGTGATAACCATACTGTTAAATAAGAAGTTGAATTTCTCTCTTACCCTTGCATCTCCTGACTTGTGCTGTAAACCAGAAAGGAAACGTATAAATTTATGTGACATCAAAAGATAAATTCAAGTAATAAAACATTAATGAAATGTTCATTTAATTGTGTGGTTGACCCAACTCTCAACAAACACAAGCTCAACTAGACAAAGAGATGTGATGAGAAGTAAAAGAGCGATAGCCATACCTTGGTATTAGCAACATACGAGGCCTTCACTGTAGAAATGACAGCGTTCATTAGATTTTTGGCCGCTGTGATGAGAGAAGTAGCACTGTCCAACTGAAAGAAAATAATAGTGATGAGACCAGATGGAAAACGTATGCCTGCTCTTTTAAAGTTTTTAATTTGGAATTCGAGTTGATGTTCCCCACATTTCACAATCCTATTGGGTTTATTCTTTCGCCAGAAGTAAAGTACAATTTTTAAGGACCTTCCACGAAAAAAACCGCAACGCATTTGAACGTCGCTTCTTTAGCTTAACACAAGATGAAGACAAAAGTTTCCCACCCCCCCCCCCCAAAAAAAAAAATTTGTTGTGAAATAACAATGATTCAAATGGAGATTAGAAGTTATCATGTTACTGAGGAGCAGTGATGAAGACGAACTTACCCCGGACACTACAAGTTCACCACTGATCATCTGTACGTCAGCTTTCACTCGGGCTGTGATGGTCAGCTGATGGGAATACAGTGCAATGCGCTGTATGTACGCTAACAGATCGTTCTTTGAACTTGAATCAGGACACTAATAAAAATATAAGTAGAAGTTGGTATATTAACCAAATGAAGAAACGCAACAATTTCAAAAATCAAAACCCTGTTCTAGGATTTCAGTCAGTTCAGAAGAGTGAAAATATCGAGCGAGAGAAACATAGCCTGTTCCTTCCGAATGCAATTTTCCCCCACTTCACTTGTCTCCACTGAGTCAGAGTCTAACACAAACTAAACTCACCAAAGAGCTTAGAACCTCTAATCCACACAACAAAATTAGAGCGCTTTTTTAAAGAGCATTTTGGGCCCAGAAATCTATTTCAGCCGCTGCCGAAACATGTTGATCAATAATGCCTCCTTGAGTTAAGAATTTACCTTCTGTGCAATTTCGGTAGCTTTTTCATTCATCTTTCTTCCAGCTTTGGCAATTCTCTGAAGAATGAAGAACGAATAGAATAATCATCGATGGTCAATTGACACTTAAATTCACCCAAAACACTGTTCCTTACCTTAGCAGCATCAATCACATCCATCGTAGTTTTCAGCGGTCCTGTTCCCCTGAAGTCAAAATGACAATAACAAAATTAATGAAAATTTCACAATTTCATGGCTTATTGACGACAATTCTGTTTTCCAATAAAAACGGGGCCTGAGTTAGAGGTGTTATCAGAAGCATAAAGACATGATCGGAACAACCAGCATAATATTGATATCGTCCGTGACTCCGTTGCTAAACCCGTAACTCCCTTGAGTGACCAAGACAGATTTTCTCCTCACATATATCAGACAGACAAATTATGAAAATAAAGATAAATATTAATTAGGGAATTATTAGCTGATTCAATACCAAAATTCTCCGATCTAACATAATGAGAATTGTATAGCAGACAGACTTTGAGGGTAGTGCCATACTTGGAAGCCTCGGAACCAGCATTACAATGGATAAATTTGCAACTACGACGATCTTGGTTTCACAGGAGAATTTGCGGAATCGGATGAACACTAACACGTTCCGAATTCCTCACGACTCCAACTCCGTCGATCTTGCGGCTCCGCTTACGAATCCACCTTCCAATGTTCAGTACCTCGTGAGCGCTCCAACGACCTCGTCTCCAACTTCGTTTCCGTCTCAAACTCAGACACCCGCAAAAACCATTATAAAAACGTACTCTACCTTGTGAAGTCGGACATTTCCATCATCATCATGCACATCTTCTTCGCCAGGATAATAATATCATTTCCACTTTCGTCCCATTTGGTCAACTCTCTTTCCAGCTTTTTCTTCTCTAGTTTCAGTCCCTCGGCCAGCTGTTCAATCTTAGCTTTTTCTTCTGCCGGCAGAGCTCTCATAAGGGACTGGAGACAAGATCAGAAATAACCAAGAATTAATGTTGCAAACTCAAGAAGACGATTATGTGACGTGTGTAGGAACTGAATACGTACGACGGATTTTTTTGGATTTAATTCCTGCGGATTTTCTGGATTGTCCGCGAAAAAACAAAACAAAGTTATAAGCTACGTGGGAGAATAAAGTGAAATATCATGAATGTAAGTGACGTTTCTTTCCTCGACAATGTTCTTCTGCTTAAAGAGAAAGTCGAAAAAATTAGATTCAAAGGAAATTGCGGTACAATCGGACCGCAAAAATTTGCCCCGATACCGTCATCCTTCTTAATTACACTTCCACACAGCTTTCAGCTACAAAACTTCCTCCTTCGCGACTGTATTTTTGCTTTAATCATACGACACGCAACGCGCGACGCGCGAAACTCGACACGCGAAACACTCCCTTGCCTACAGTAAATGAAAGAGGACAAACAGTGGTATCTCCTACCCTTGCACTCCTCTTTGATATACTCTTATCCTTTTCCCATTCGTCAGTGTCATCAAACTCAGACCGTGCCTCATAATCAGAAACTGCTCCCTCAAATTCGTAATCAGACACTGGTTCGTACTCAGACTCCGCAGCTGTCATGGCGCCTATGGACAATCCAAGAACAACAAAGTAAATATCTCACTAATCTCGTGTTATAGAATAGTAAATATCCCATTCAACCCACGACATCTTACTTATTTCCTCCTCTGCTGACGGACTCGTCAGCATTTCTTCGATAACTGCAGGTCCCTGGTACCGCGGTTGGCTTACATTTTTTGCCCATTTAACTTGCTCGGGCCCTGTGTACCCCACGAAGGCCCAAGAGCCATGGAACCCAGGATGAACATTGCCTGTGGCACCTATCTCATAAAGAGCCTCCTTTGCGTCATTCACAGAAGTACCTGTTGAATCAAGTGAGAAAAACCATGAGAGTTAATGTCTGTAACTGAAAAAGTAAAGTCAAAACTATGACGGTATTTAAGAAACAAAACACCTATCGATTTAAGGCACAAGTAATAAATGGCAACAACAGAGATGACTTTCTCTGCGATAATTTTAAATTCAATAGTCGGACGCCTAAAATTCCCTTTAGACAATCAAATTACAGGTATAACCGTCAAATTAGTGCTTCCTATAACCAATCACGTTCAAGAACTGTGACACAGTTTTGAACAATCGTTTGCCTGAACGTCATACTTGGTAATCACTGATTTGTGTGAAGATGCCACAAAGGTGCCCATAGATGCAACAAACCATACTCACCAGTGGTTCCCTGAGTACCAATCAGCACTATCCTCTCCTGAGGAAGCTGTTGTAAGAACTTGGCCATCTTTGCCCCCTCCCCTTTAGACGGATCTGCTGTGTCAAAGTTAGCCGCCATGATAAAGTTTCTGTCACTGTCCAGTATGACAATATTGTGTCCTCGCTGCATGGGCGATCTCTCGATGCCATTAACTTTGATTGATGTTCGGCCTGTTCCCTTTGGATCATCTTCTCCGGTAGCGACGATCGCAACACGAACCATTCCTGAAACAACGCAGCAATAGACGTTACACGGGTGTCACTTTTTATCACTGTTAATAAAATTACCAATACAAATGAGACTTGTTTCAAAAATAGTTCAATGAACCAACAGACTTCCGGTGTTCTGATGGAAAAGAGATTTCCACTACAACACGCCCCAGCATTGGCCCTATCTCACCAAAGAGTATTCCGTAGCTCAATGGTGCAACATCGGAGGTCTGAGGTTAGAATCTTTCGGGGGACTCGGATTTTTTCTTTGTCCGACCTTCGTAACATGAAACACAACACCTTCCTATACTATTACAGTCTTGTACTGAATACTACTAGTTGTTAGGATATCATGTTAGTGAGCCCGTAGTCCATCTCTTCTAAAGCTTGTCCTAGACTGTGCTGCATGAAAAGACTAGCAGTATTACTAATAATGTGAGAATCAAAGCAATTACTGTAAGAGTTCTGAACCAAAAACAAAACAACATGCCATCCTGTGATCCACTATGACTCTCATTTACTGGTACACACACCTACTAACAATCCAAAAAGTCGAAAAATGGCTATCAGCAGCAAAACGAAAAATATTAACAAATTAAGACAACGAACCTTTCTGTGCAGCTGGAGTGGGAATGAGTTGCGCCACAATTGCCGGTCCATGGTACCTGGGTCGCACCTCAGCTTTGGTGTAAAATCTTGGTGCGGGTCCAGTACAGCCAGAGAAGGCGTAAGATCCATGAAAACCAGGGTCAAATGGTCCCTCTGCTCCAAGACGCTCCAGCGCTGGTGCTGCGGCGGCCACATTATTACCTAAAGATCAAACCAAGTAAAGCAATTTTCAATTCAGTGTCAAAAGTAAAGCATGGCTTCGCCCTCCTTCGTCATGTGATTGGTCTGGAGACCCAACACCACCCTTCCCACCGATTAGAATAAAAAAAAAACCCAGTTGCGACTTGGCGTTTCGTCGCGCTTCAGGAAACTTGCCTGTTTTCATTTTCTAGTCACATTGAAGCCTTACAATATTTCCATCAGTTTTACTTATCGAATGCTTTTACTACTTTGGTTTTGGTTCATCAAAGTGTATCCAATAAATTTTGGAGCCGCAAGAGGCAACACACTTATCTTCTGTCCCTTGCGTATGTAACAACTGTGTAGCTTATTTCATGTTAACATAACGCTGACGCGAACTTTGCATTTTTAATGAAATTTTCTCTCAAACGCTTGGTAGCAAGTTAAGAAAAAATAGCAGGCGCTTCGTTATCTAATCAGGATATCGAGACGATTGTAACGCGCCATGACCAGGCCGATCGACCTCAAGAACTGTTCTCTTCGTTTTTAACCCTTACCCTGCTCTCGGCTTGTCAGCTCCTGTGTGGCCACAAGAACAACATGATCCTCAGGAAGTTGGTTCAAAAACTGTCCCATAGCCGGGCCTTCCCCTGCATTGGTGTTAAAATTTCTGACTGCGTACACGTCACCAATCGGATCAAGTACAACAACATTGTGCCCAGGCTTCCTGGGGCAATGTTCCACACCGTTCACCTTGATAGACGACACACCCATTCCCCCTTCATCTTCACCTCCCTCCGATCGCACTTCAAATTGTAATTTACCTAGAATGAAAAACAGAAATTGGGCAAACTTTTAAGTAAGCATTTAAAATAACATTGGTTTTTCTCTGCATTTTCCTGCAAAGCTGGCGCCATCTTTCAACCAATCAGAAGCCAAATGAAAATCAATAGGGACTTGGTCACCCGCGTTTTCCCGCGCTTCATGTAGTTTGCTTGTCTTTAATGTGATTTCTAAAAGGCTCCTGTCCTATTTTCCTTGGTGCCTTTTGTGTAACTTTTTAATTGCAATCATATTCAAGAATAGATTGAAGAGAATATGGTTTCACAGTATCGTGCATCATGGAACTCCTCACTGAACACTCTTGGCATGTGCGAGTTTTATCTTTTCTCTGAATAATCAATCACTTTGTTCTGTCAACATACCACTCGCTTTGAGTTGTTCATAGGCAGCTTGTTCTCTGGCACGAGCCTGTGCCTCGGCAAACAGCACAGCAGCTGCATCCTCCATTTCCACTTCTTCACCAGGACCACCTCGTCTCTACGAAGACAAAAATAACAAAATGCAGATGTGAGTCAATGTCTCTCTCGCGATCATAACAGTGTATGTATCAAACATATATCCCGTAATTCATCACTTTAAAGCCCTCCCCCCCCTCCCCCAAACAATGTTGCATGAAAATTAGTAAGCATTTTGTTCACACCAGCACCAGGCAACATAGAAAAGAGGACGGGGGGGAAATGAGGGCGGTTACAGACGACGTTTGCCACTCACTATAGCATCTTTGCAATTAATCTTTTCTTATTTTCTATTCATCGTTATTTCGTTGATTACTTCTGACTCGCGGAACGGATCGGCCAGGAAATGAGAAACTGGCCGCAGGAAAGAAAGCTAATGGAAATGAAACTAAAGATGGATAAAGATGGGTGTAATAAAATGAACTTACCCTTCCAGCGAGAACAGCCTTCCTGATGTCTCTTATACCTTCATACACCTAAAATAATAACACAAGTATTACCCTGGTATTTAAACATTTACCTTCTAGTTCAATTAACATATCCTGGACGTAAACCTCAGAATAGCCAGGCGTTAATTTTTTAATCGCGTTTTTCGGGCGAACGGAAGAAAACGCTTGAGGCTAGTCACGCTCGTTAGAAGGGGCGCGAAAACATGATCCATCATTTTTTCCCGCTCTTCCGCTCTACCAATTGACTCACCCCGCGCGCTTTCCTCGCACTGGCATTGTGTTTGCCTGTGCACGCTGGAACGAACGCAAAAAACATATCAAACAAGCTGATCCTGGTTTAAACGACCACGGCTTTTCCAACAATTTTAGAAAGGGTTGGTTTCGAGTTCATGTAAAAGCGATATTTCCAAATTGTGTTTGTTAGCAAGTTTTCCTCTGATAAATTATTACGGTCATTTTCCAAGACTAGTGCCTATATATAACTGCTGCACTGAACGTTAAGCTTCAACTTACCAGTTTAGAGGCATCAATAAACTGAGCCTCATCCACTTCTCCGTGTGGATCTTTAGCCAGTGTGTTTACAGATCTCTCAACATTCTGAGCGAAGTGTGGAATCACTGAAAAGGAACATACAGAAGCATATGTTGTTAGACTCTTAATGTAAGATCCAGAGGAAACAACTATACTGTACTTCTGTTTCCCTGGGAGTATCACTGTTTCCCGCGAAGAATTCAAGGGTAAATCGAAACTAAAAGGAAAAACAGAACATAGTTGTACTTTTTCTTGCCATGAAGGATATTAAGGGATTTAATTTCTTTGAGAATTTTCGTGAATCATTTTCGTCGGACGGAATCTATAAGAGTTTGTCATTATTCAATTCGAGCAAATGCTTCACTCTTCTTTTTTTAACATGAATAAAAAATTGCATTGCAATTTCTATTTGTTGAGATTTGTTTACTCAAGCCATACATGTAACGACAGTACGTCGATGCACTGGTCATTTTGGAGTACTCGCGTATAAAAATACTCTTCATAACGTACAAGCTAGAGTTCTTACCTTCATTCCTCATGTACATGACTGCCCTCATCACATTATCAGTGTATGGTCCTTGTTGGTAGTTCTCCATTTCTGCAGTGACCACATCTTCCAGTCTTGCTGTGCGTCCACGTATCTGTCCAGCAGTCCTGTCCACATTCTCGGGATCTCTCTCTTGCAGAGCCTGGACACATTTGTTCACATCTTCCAAGACATGAGCCTCTGATGGATCACAACAGAGAACACCCTTTACACCCTAACGTCAATGTCCAGATTCTCCATAGTTTTACCCTTCTCTATAATTATACCGTATTTCCTTTGTTACTGACCTTTATCAGAGGGAGAATTTGATTTTCTTAAACTTAATGTGCGATTCTGTATTCTAAAACCAAATTCTCCCAACTACATGTAATTTACGAGGTTTGCGTAGCAGCTGGGGGAAGAATTAACCATCAGATCTTGTGAGTTGAAAGAGCTACACAACACTACACACTTAGGTGACAAGGGCATAGACAGGATATTCCAGTAAGGGGTCTCTTTGAGGGATAAAACTGGTGATAGCATTCAAAATTAATTCATTATCATAAATTCAATCATCATTTATTATTGATGAAGATGGTTGTCACAAACTTCCTTCCACCTCCTCTCCTACACTCATGAAATGCACTTGCCTGTAGTAGCTAAAAAGTCTTCAATTCCTGTAATGTCATCAACAGCCTCAGTGAGAACCTGCAATTGCTGTTCCCAGGCCTCTTTGAACACATCCATATTTTCTCGAGCCACCTTACTATGAGGACGGGCAGCTAGTGTTCGAGCAGCGTTAATTACCTACAATTCATACATAAATACACATAATAAATGACCAACTGTAAAGTTTCTGTTTCAAATCTAAGTAAAGAACAAGAATTGAGGAAAATTTTCCAAACTGTACTTTTGAATAGTAGAGGTACAATACACACAGTTTTTGGAGCATTCTTTTCCATGAAAATTTTGATCCTTAATTACAATCTCATTGTTAATGCAAAGCTGATCCTTACCTGAGGACACAAGTTCTGCAATCTCTTTGCTGCTAGTCTCACCATTTTCACCTTCTCAGGATTCACTGACATTGAACAGGCAAGATTTGCCACCTGAAGAAACATGAAGAGCAAAAATTGTTTTGAAACAGATGAAATAATGTCAGGTTACTATGTAATCCTTTTCGATAGAGATTCAGATGAAAATTAATCTATCCCTTCATCACCCTGGATTCACTGCTTTGAGTTTTCTACTAGGTTCATATATCTGTCCTCTTAATTTGTTTTCCTGTATGGTAATGTATGAAAGGATGTATGAAAGGATGCATGTAAGGATGAGACTGAACAGTAACAAATATGCACAATGTACACTGTTGAACCAAATAACTAAACTAATTAAAATGAAAAATCACCTCTTCAAGTTTTGCAGCATGGTCTGTAAATAACTTGGCACATTCTTCTACTTCTTTCTCATTCCCAGCTTGAGCTGCTTCAATCATCATGATCAGAGGCATTGTGGTCTCCAAGAAAGAATCAGAAACATGATCCACAACTGCACGACGCAACTAGAAAACAAAATCAAGAAATATTAGTGGCTTTCCTTTAAAGTAACAGCCCACATTCTGGCCAAGCACTGGTTGATTCAAATGGACTTGCAGATCAGTCTGCAGCAGTAAAAGGAATGGAGTTACATGTAAGTAGACTTGCTTTAAAAGATGTCAGTGAGTAAGCATCGACAAGATGGAACTAAAAAGGCAGGAGTCAGATGTATGAAAGGAGGAGGGCTAGTTTCACAATGCTGGAACTAGGGTATCTGGGTAGGTCAACACTCTAACCTCCTAGCATTCATCCCAGATTTTGATGACAGGTGTTTTCAAAGGCCTGCCAAAATCACTCTTAAGGGGAAAAATAAAATATCAAAAGCTGCCATATTCATGAATTATTTTACCTGGCCTCTCAGCTCCCTGGTTCGGTTACACATCCTTTCCAAGGCTTGGTCTAGAGACCCTCCAGGAGCAGCCTTCTTCTTTCCTGTGGCCTAAACACCCAAGAAAGGAAAACAAAATGTCAAAAGACTGTGACAAAGACTTAATTTCCACAAATACCAGATTCTGCAAAAACATCCCTATACCACAGCCTTGGCACTGAACAATTCAGTCTAAATTTTAACCATTAACAACCTAACATCAGTATGCACAGTCTCCACTGTTCTCTACAACTTTGTACGGTACTGAAAAGGCAAATTTGCTGAATAATCCACAGCTTCTAAAGTTGATGATAACTCCTTATTCTTACAACTAAACAATTGATTCACCAGTGATACTGTAAGGAGAATTATGGGTCAACAGCTGGAGTATTAAAGCAGGTTTTAGATTGGACCACTGTCCTCAAAAAGTCCCATAAATTTATGATACGTGTTATCTGCACGAGTAATATGGAGTTCTTACATGATTCATATACTCTGACAGTAGATCCTGGAGAGCTTGCCGCACACCATTACAGCTTGCTATAATCTTGTCCCGTGTATCATCTCTTGTTGACATTGAGTCAGCTAACTGTGCTGCTCCACTGATGATGCTTTCAAGTCGCTGCTCCAATGTGGGACGGGTGCGCTTTTCAGAGTATGAAGTTGGATCCATGTTGATCTGGGACTGAAATACAAAGAAACATGCACAGTTTAAGCTGTACTACATGACTGGATACTTTGAAAATAAAAAAGGAAGCTCATCCTAATAACTGGGTATCATGACACAATTTAATTAATCACATGAATGTGATAAGATGGAATAGCTTTAGGTTATATTGGATAAGTATTCCTCTCAACATGTTCTATAAGTATCACTCAGCTAAGCACATAATGCAACATGATGTTAAAATGCTTCTGCATAACTTTTGTATCAAAATGTCCCTCACTGCCATACCCAGTAATGGAAGGAGTGGCAATGCTGTGTGGTGACAGGTGCTCACTTTGAAATCTGGGGGTTCCAAGGTAAGCTATGAATTGTGCCTTTAACTTATAAACAGATTTATCCATGGTTGTCCCATGTTCAATTCCCCTGTGGCAGCTCAAAAGTAGTCCACTAGTTTGCCAAAAACAGCTGAGACTGTAACCAGTTAATACTAGATATTCACTTATTTCCTTGCTTAGGCCTTACAGTGTCTGACTCAGTAAATTTCCAAACAGGTGCTAATTGCTTGATATTAGAAAAATTTGATAAAATTTGTTTTTCTTCGCAATCTACTCACATCAAAGTCATCCAAAGCTGTTGCCAATGCCCCTGGAGTCTCATATGGGTGAGGTCCACCTGAGCCAGTAGCCTGTGTTGCCCCTGAAATGGCATTCACTGCTTCAGACATTTGCTTCATCACAAAATCCCTGTTGGCTTTTGCAGAATCCACTTCAGGATGACGTACATAGGCCTAAAAGAAGCACAAAGGTCAGCACAATGCTAAAAAAAGTTCTCAATTGAAAAGTTTTATGAGACACCCAGGTACTTAAGTTTTGCAGAACTTACATGTCTCTAGGTGGGGGAGGTTTCCTGTATGTGTATGTAATTTGCAGACATCCAACATTCATTGAAAGCAATACAAACCTAGAATTGTCTTTCAGTCATTGACAGATTTTAAAATAAGTCCCTAACGAAAATCGTGCAAATCTCCAGCTGTGTAGTCTCTGATCAAGGGGAGCTTTAAGCCCTTAATAATTAATTGAATGGTTTCTATTTCTTTTAACTGTTAAGTACAACTAAAAAATAACTGCTAAAATACAGCTGTAGATTTGCAAAAGGTCAAGTAGAACTTGCCTAATAAACACTGATACAGCTGCAGACAATGATTTAAAGGAATTTACCTTGGAGGAGGACAGCAGCATTTTACTTGACTCTTTAAGAGTAGCCCTAGCAGCAGCCATGTCATCTTTCCTATGTGGATCTTTTAAGTCCTGAATATTTCAAGGAAACAAAAGTTGAATCATTAAATGGTGAATTCAGTGTCAGTTTAAACTTTCTGACAAAGAGGTCACAGAACCAAGAAACCTCTAGAAAACAATACTAAGATCACTTACTGCTTGTCTCTTGCCAGAAAGTTTTGCCAAGTCCATCAAGTCATTCCCAAGATTCTTAAAAGAATTCAACAAGTCTGCAGTGTTACTAGCTTTTTCTAATTCCTTCAGTCTCTTCTCCACCTAACCAAAGTAAATAACAAAAATGATTCAAAATTAACTTATAAAACAACTACAAAATTAGATTAATGCTTAATGAGAGGGGATTATATTTGTGTCAACAATTTTTTGTGACTCCTGAATCAGACCCAAAACTGCTGACACATAGGATCTTCTGTTGGTCAAAGATGCTGATGCAGAGTATTTTGAACCACAAGGCAAAACTTCTAACCACTTGAAGAACACTTCTAACAATGATTTTGAATAACATGCAAAAAGTGGAACTAATAGCCATCGAAATTCATATGGAAGGTGAGGATGGAAGAATCTTAATATCTCAGAGGGGAGAAAGAAGAAGGGGATGTTGGTATTACTGTTAGTATTAAATCAAAATGTTTTACTGACCAGTTTCAGTGAGGCAAGGAGGCGATACACATCTGCCATGTCAGCAACACACAACAACCTTGTAACAGAGGACAATAGTGCCCGAGCAGCCCTGACCATTGAAGCTCTTTTGGCTGACGAACATGGATCATCTGCAAATTCTTTGGCTGCAATTCGCATTGAATCACCTGAAAAGCAAGATGAAAACCTTTAACTCTTGACAAATCTACTTGCAGTTACATATAAGAATTGTAAATTAAGAATTTTAACTAAGTACTGTACATAGCTAGCTGCTGGTAATTATTGCCAACCTTGTGGCTACTAGGATGTTATATAAATTTCCTGTTTAGTTACTGACAGCAATTATTTATATGTCCAATCTCCAATTATCCTACACTTAAGGAAAAGTTATGTCTGAGTAAAATGAAAACTAATAGAGAAATAATGAGGTCATGTTCACCCAGTAAGACAACATATTTTCAGCAACATTTATCCCTTAAAAATGTAAGGACTACCAAGGCATACAGATGATGTTGATAGACAAAACATAGCTTAATGATTAAAATACCATGCAGACATATTGAAAGACAAGATCAAATCTTTATACTTAAGAAGATCAGACCTTCTTTGGCTTCTTATTCAACTGCCTTAAAGAAGTTTAAAAAACAATTTAATGGCAATTCCACTGATAAAATCCAACTACCCAGGCCATACCTGCCCCACGACAGTCCTTGCATGCTGCTAACATTTCTTCTCTGATTTCAGGAAACTCTTGAGCAATTTCCTCCCCTGTTTTTATAAGCCGAGCTGTAGCATCTTCAATGTCTTGGGCAAGCTTATGGGCATTCTTAGATTTTCCAAGTTTGCTACCCTTTTTCTTTGGATGATTAACCAGGGTTGTTACCTGCAAACAAGAACATGGTTGATCACTGTTATGAAAAGGTCTTGTTTACACATGTACCCTGACAGAGATTTACTAGTTTTCCAGGAAAGATGCATCTTACATGAATTGATGATAGAGACATAAAAAGGGCTCTTTACCTTCAGAATTCAAGCATTTACAATATTATTAGATAAGAAAATGCCATCACATGCAATTCCTTTCTATTTTAGGGCTTGTTTAAGATTAAAATTTTTGGTGGTGGAAGCTGGTTGAAAATTTTTAGGGAAACTTAACTCTCTTTACAGCACTTGAGACATGGAGATCATTGCTGTGTTAGTGGCACTAATTGCTGTCCTTTTGAAAGACCGCATAACAAATTTTTGGGGCACCATTAACTTTGGTCCAAGGAAATAACTTTCTTTTTCTATCTACTGTAAGGTTTGGTTTGTCATGATCTCTTATATCAAAATAATGTCATGACAAAATATAACAGGGGAAAAAATTGTGCATACACACTGACATGTTCAACTACAGTTGTGGAGTCACTGTGCATGCACTTACAAAACTTTTCAGTAAAGTTATTATCAGTTGACAACATGAAACATTCCAAGATCAGAGAGGCAACATTTAACCCCATGCAGGGTAGTAATTTCTTTATAATTACAGGAACGAAAGGTAACTCATCCTTGACAACCTTGATAACTGTCATATTATGAAAGGCGGCACCGAAGCAATTACTGTAACTCACTTGATAGAACCTACACTTGACGTTTAACAAGTGACAGTCCTGGACTCAAAACCAAACGAGGCGAAGAGACTTCCATAGATTATTTACACAAATACGCGGTTGATAATATTTTTGGTTGCCATTTTAGGAAAGGAAAATGGCCGCACCCTCGTTTATCGCTGAATTCTTAGTAACGAGACACCGGTAAATCGCCGGTTTAAATAGCTGAAAATTTCCTTATCAACGGTTTACAACATTGATTTTAAGGATTCGCTAACAGCACGGACGCAAAACACCCGGTGGTCTTACGTACATCCAATGACAATCCGTAATTTGTTGCTAAAATTCGTTCAGTTTTAAGCTAAACGATGGCCCAGTGAACAGAAGGGAAGAGTTAAGTAAACGTTGATAATATTTTGACTCTGTTCACCTGGAATTAAGTGTAGAAGATCTTACCGCCAAAATGGAGATTATACAGGGTTTTCACAGAGTTCTAGGTAAGATAAAAAACTTGAATTTTGCTCTTAAAGCTAATTTACATGTTAAAGTAAAAACACTCAAGCTGCAGCAAGAACAGTACGGAATATTTCATCGTTCGACGAGACGCCAATTTGATCGAGGAGAAAAAACTTGGATACATGGACGCTCTCCGCTCTTCGCAACTGGACAGAATGTTTTTCTTGAGCCATCACTAAGAAACCGTGTTGAGACATCGTTTGATATTTCAGAAAATAACTCCACTAAAAATCGAGGTAAGCTGGATAACTCAACAGCACAAAATTTACCTGGTGAACAAGTGGCTCGAGGGTCTTCTCGACTGAATGCGTCCGAATTTCTAGAGTTTTTGGATCCCATTTCATTTTACTCTTCTCCACTTTTATGTCGCCGGTCACCGAAGTCGTCCCTCGACTCATGGTTGCATAAAAACGTCCTGAAACGTCAACAGGACACCAGCCACAATCACTAAATTTGGAAGTGCGTTTGAAATATTTCTCGCCAAGCTACAAAACGGATATGCGGATTATTTTTATCACGTGACTAGGTTGGAATGCTACGCCTAAAATTATTTTGAGGAAGGGAGGGCTAGGCAAAATTACCAGATGAATGGATGAAGAGCTTATTCTATCTTCACTGAACAAATCATTAAATTTATCGTATGAAACTGTAATGAAGACGTTCGTGAGACCAGATAAATCACATTTGTTGGTTTTTTCGTTGCGGCAAAACTAATTTTTTTTTTGGTTACATGAGAGAAGGGGGTGCGTTTTGCCAATAAAAAGCGTTTCGAATAACACATTTTTAGATTAAATTTTAGATTAAATTTTCTCTCCTATTGATCGGCCGCAAGTTTAAAAGGTACGAAAAAAACCGTTGAAATAAGGTTTTTTGTAAAGCCAACCATGGGGTTTAGAAAACAAATAAGGCCAAGAAAAAAAATTCCAAGAAATAAAAATCAGTTTTACACGGCGAAAAAAAGTGGGAAAGAAAAAAAAATTTGGCGGAGAATAACAAAATCAAAAGAAGAAAAAGTATTGTGGTCCGTGAGAGGCTCGAACTCTCGACCTCGGCGTTACTAGCATTGGATCTAAGATCCAGGTGTATCAGCACCGCGCTCTGCCGACTGAGCTAACGGACCAGCTCTGAAAGAAATTGGGGAAAATTTAAATAAAAAAATCTATTAGTCTATGGCAAGTCCATATTTGGTGTCTTCCGGTAAATCCTCGTGAATCATCGTCGGGACGTTCATCACGAGATCGTCAGTCTCGGATGGCCGCCATCTTCTTCAGAAGCTACAATGTTTATGTCCTTACGTTTAGTTTTATTACAGCTTCTGCTTTTCTCAGGTTTGTAAAATGTGAGGCCCGCGTGACAGGAATAAGTCCTGTCGGTGATTCAGGTGGTAAATCATCCATCGTGGATGGTGTTCTCGTAATAGCTGCGGATAATTTAGTGACGCTACGATTCTACGGTGCAGGGTTTACGCATAACTCTCGCATTGCTTTTACGACTACCGCGGAAAAATCTCAGACAAAATGCGATGAGGATCGAACGAAGCCTGTAGAGTTCACTGCAAACAACCTTCAGCAGTATGTAGGAGAAGCCAAAGTGAGTTTACCGAAGGAAAGCTGTGGGAAACACGCATTATGTCTGCCTTCAGTCCGGCAATGAAAGCGAATGGTTACATCAGGGGTTCAGACGATCCTCTTCTTCAGATTAAGTGCGAAGGAAAGACTGATCTACCTCTGTGGTTGAAGATATCATTTATCGTAGTTTTGATGTTGCTGTCAGGCTTGTTCTCCGCTCAATTTGGGGCTGGTGGCTCTTGATCCAACAGAGCTTAAAATTGTCATGAACTGCGGCAATTCCAACGAACAAAAGTACGCCAAAAGTATCACTCCACTTGGACGGCTTAATCGGCAGCGGAATTGCTGCTATTTTGGGTTCCACCGCTGGAATTGTTATATTTGGCGAAATAATGCCTCAGAGTATTTGTTCCAGGCATGGTTTGGCTGTGGGTGCACACACCATTTGGATAACGAGATTTTCATGATAGCAATACGTAGCCATT